TGATTTCTGTTCAACTAGTCCTCACTCTGGCATTGACATTTGGGTATAAGCATCGCTGGGCGTTTTTTGGTTACACACATTCAAGGCTGGACCTTTTGCTGGTCTGCAGTCACCACTCATTGCATTATTTCCCCTCTTTCTCTTCTTGTACATACATACACACCCTGTTTCCTACACTAGAGAGGATTTCTCCTCATCGCAAGTCCCTGTTCTTGTCTATACCCATTCTTAGAGCGCCCTGTTGGGTAGCGTGGTTCAATCGATACTTGTTGTTTTTGCTCCGTGGGTAATGTCCGATGCTCCGTGACTACTGCGTGAGCGCGTGATCTTCACATGCTGAGCTTATTTAGTTATGCCGAAGCTACGGGAAGTGCTAATTGCCGTGGGCTAATGCAGACTTGCAGATGCTTGCATACTGCGATTCTCTGTTCCGGAGGACTTGGCATCCTCAAGGCCCGATGCTGTCGGCCGAAGTGTCGGACGAGTCGGAGGGTTCGGATGGCGCGGAGGAATGGTTCGACGGAGGGTGGTGGCATGACTCGTGGTAGGAGGTGGGACGGGGTCTTTATGTTGCGTGTCACGAACCACGATGCATGTTGGTGTCTCCCTCTGTAGATACTTGTACCCGGGGTAAGACGTACGGTGTCGGTGAGTTGAGAAGTGGACTATTGTGATGGGTTAGCTCTTGGAGGAAGGTGCTAGGCGTTTCCCTAGACGTTTTCAAGGTTCTACTCGGTATCTCACTAGAGGTAGGCAACAAAAACTCTCCATGGACTCGAGCCTTCACTGAAGAGGCCACGATCTATGCTTCCCTACCAAACCACCGGAGAATTAGGATGACAGCTCCTCAAAAACTCCAACCACTGAATCCTCGCCTCAACCTGAAACTGCCTTCCCACCACCTCTCTAAACTCAATAACGTCCCCCCTCACAGCAGCATCTAACCTATCCCTCGCAAGATACAGCGCCAAATCGAATAACGCTAACAACTCGACATACGCCGCATACGGAGCGTTAAGCCAGCAGTCGAAATGCGCTCGTACCGCATCCGCATCCTCAAAAACCATGACCAGTTTCTCAAGATACGAGTGCGGGCTTGCGGGAAAGCTAACCTGCACGGGCGGATCCAGGTACTTCAAGATGCGATCACAGCTCTCCACAACCTCGCTCGGTGTAACAGGATGATGCGGCGCATCGAACAGATTCCACCCGCAAAACGGACAACTCCACACCTCCGGCTTGCGAAAATGCTCTACAATACACTCCGAGCCGAAGATGTGTCCGCAGGGGATTTCAACAGGTCGATGCGATTTCTCAGAACCGGTATCTTCTTTGCAGAGTGTAGTGCCGCAGAGCGAACATGATCCAAGGTTCTGTTTCGATGGGTTGAGCATTAACGGAACAACAGCATCGAGTGGACGGTCTTGTGCTAGAAATGTAGTGACGCAGCCTACTTGCTCGCGGTCTAAGGTTAACGGACCGCGCAAAGACATGGTACCCACTGCGTCCATCGTGCCACTCAGAACCTGAGCATTTACATCGAAAAGCCGGAGAAATTCCTTCTGCTTCGCAGACGGCAATTCATGCCACCCCAACGCCCACTCTCTCATTCCCCCAGGTAGCGATGGGAACACATCGAGGTCCATAAACCACTCCCAACCAGCCTTCAGACTCTGAGCCAGACTAAGTGTTGAGTCCTCGAGGATACGTTGAAGCTGTGCGAGAAACAGGATCTTAGGCCAGTGCGGTTGAGGTGCTACTTCGACTTCTCCTTCTCCCTCTGCCTCCACTTCCCGTTTCACATGCGGGAAATAGCATTCTTGCGCTAGGTATATCAGGTCGCCGGCGTTGAATGCGCCGTTGTAATCTAATCCGCATTCTATGTGGCTGATGAGCTCTTGCATCATGTCGAAGTATACAGGTAATGGATGGAGACGTAGCGCGGAAAGCGAGGTGTCTGTGGGGAAGTCTGCGTACCGAAGGTAGAATTTTAGGATGGAGATGATGGATGTGATTTGGCCTTCGAGTCGGACTATGCGGTTGTAGTAAGGGGAGTGGGAGGGTGTGGTGTGGCGGCGTGGGATAACCTCTCGCTTGGTTCTATGTCGATGGCGCGGTGGGGAGAGGGAATCTGTTGCTGCGTTAGACATGTCGGGTTGGGTTTGCGCACGTCCTCGTAGCGTTCGTGGGATCCGATGGTGGGGTTGGGAAGGCATGGTGCGTTAGTTTGAACTTTGAGAGGCGTTGCGTGGATTGTAAAGTTTGCCTTGCAGCGGAGTAGAAGATGTTTGATCAGGCGAAGCTGGATGGTTCCATTGAACTAGAAGTTTTCCATTCCATATACGCAGGTTCACAAAGCCGACCTATACAGCGCACCGACAAGCAACTTAGGGTATCTGTCTCTCCTGCACATCACTTTCTGACCTCTGCGTGTTCGACCTCCGCTGCGTCCTTGATGTCTAGTCCAACCATGTCTTCCTGATCCTTAGCCACGTCCCTAATCATCATGTTCTGCTTCTTATTCTCGCTCTTCTTGTACAGATACTGCATGACCAAGAATGAACTCCAGCATCCTACAATGAAGCAGATATTCACTGCATAGCCCTTGGTCCATTTCGGGCCCTCGACGATAGGGAATACTGTGATGGGGTAGAAGGAGAAGACAGCCCAGCCAGCTGTCAACATAGCACCGACAGTGACAGCGCGTGCTTCTGCATCGTCACGTAGAGCCATGTTGATGAATGGCATGAGAATGGGGGTCACAGCAGCTGATACACCGAGCAGGTAGTAGCAGGCGAAGTGGTAGCCCTTAGGGATGTTCCAGACCAGAAGAGAGATGTTGGCGACGATGTAGATAGTCTGGACGATCGAGAAGATGGACCAGAGCGGGTAGACCATACAGAGGGAGGTGGCGAGGAGCGCGGCGAAGACGGAGACACCTTGGGCACCAGTTGGGATAGTGTTGATTTGAGGAATGGTGTAGGCGCCGGGGTATTTGGCAGCAAGGTCTTTAAGCCAGATTGCCATCTGTCCGTGAGGATAAGAGGAGGATAAGAAGCTAGTAGTCGGTCAGCGTTCGTAACTATGGGTTGCTCGAAGATGCTCACAAGGTATAACACAGTACGCCCATGTAGAACTCCCAGCGCATGAATGTGCGCTTTGCGACCGTCCAACTAAGCTCTTTGCTTGGTGCGACACCGGCGTTAACCATGCGTGAGCGAGCCAGCGCATGCTCTTTTGGTGTAAGCCACCACGGCTTAGCGCTACTTGGTAGACCCGGGAAGATGAGGAAGCCCGCAAGAGCAATAGGGAGAGAGATTACTCCGTCTATAATAAACAGCCATCTCCAACCCGACATGCCACCGACACTGCAAGAGGTTAGCGATAGCACAAAACTTTGCGGAAGGTCGCTTACCCGTTGAGGTTGTTGTAGGCCGCAGCTTGTAGATATCCACCAAACATCACAGCAATGTTGTTGGAGACATACCAAACTCCCGTCCTTTTGAAGACCTCCTCAGGCCTGTACCAAGAGCCAAGTACATATGTGGTACCAGATGCTACAGGCGTCTCGAGCAGACCGAGCAGAAATCGAGTACCGTAGATGTCGTTTCGACTGCGCATCTGACTCTGGCAGAAAGTCACAATGGACCACAGCACTTCCATGGTCGGCAGATAGTACTTAGCAATCTTCGGTCTGGACAATAGGAGTAAAGATGGGACCTGGAACACGAGATATCCGACGTTGTAGAAGGTGTCGAATAACGAGTACTCGTTGCCGTAGAGACTAAGCTCTTCCTTCATGCCCGACACATAGGCATTCTTGATGTTGGAGGAGTCCAGCCACTTGAGGAAGACTAGTTTCGTTAGCATATAAGTACTGGGAGACCCGATAGTATGACCTACACATAAAGGAACAGAATGTCAGCAGACAAGCGTCCATCTTCCTCAGCAACTTCCTCTCCTCCTCAGGGTAGTGCTTAGGATACCATTCCCAGAGGTACATCCAAGCCTTCCATGGCGACCTCTTGGGGGCTTCAGCAGGCGCGATAACGTTAGTATCGAACTCGCCAGTCCTGTTGGCGACACCAGCAGTTTCGTCGTTGGGCTGCGTGCTAGCCATGTTGAGTAGCCTCTCGTCAGATGAAAGTGTTGACGGCACGACCTCGGAAAAGTACAACAAAGCTGGGGTTTTCGTGCTTAAAGCCCTGACGTTCGTCGGAACCCGAAGAACAGGTGAGTAGGTAGTTCCCGCATGGCTAAATCTCAAAGCTAGTAAGCGACTGGACCGCTCATCCGCGGGCGTCGGTGTATTTCTGCATACGGATGGTCAAGTGCGGGGGCGGGCTTCTTCTGGAGAGAAATCCACAAACGGGCGCTGAAATAGGTATTACTCCGTTATCCGGTGGGTGTTGAGCTGCTGGAAGATAGCCAAGAGCATGGGGAAGCTGTGGGGTGATGGAATGAAGCTCAGATCTTGGTTCGGGAAGGATGCATTGCGGTCCATGAGTCGTGCCAAGGCGCAGCCACAGGCAAGCAACTTCGGCGCATCGTCCGCCTAACAAGCGTGAAAGTAGGCCTCGGAATCACTCGCTGATTACTATACCGCTCATTTCTTCGCATGCAAGTTTTCTTCTATTTGGCGTTGCGCAGATGCATGTATGGTGTGGTAACATCCGATGACGTCATAGACACGTTTCGCGAACGGAAAATCTTAGGCGTGTCTTTACGCGTCGCGACCACGAGCATGCACATTCATCGCCAACGTCTACGACCCGGAACCGACACATGTACTTTCACTTCCTGGGCCCATCTCGAAAAACTGTTCGCGTTGAGTATGCGTTCTTTGTGTAACCTTGGAAGAGCATGGTGCCCGGGGACCTCCCATGCAGAGCCGTGCATACGCATCTTCACGCGACTATACCTACATATCAGGAGAGCGTGATCGCGACCGGGTTTCGATTTTGGAATGACCATATCTACTTCTACGCTACGCCTTTCCACTACTTCAACGCTTCGATCATCTGGTACAAGCTGTTCTCTAGGGTGACAGGCGATCGAAGCGCAGACCAATCGTAGTTCAACAATCCCCATGCCTCATCCGCTCCTATGAGCGTGTTGGGAGTTCGGTTAGGACGAGTCTGGAGGTAGAAGCTACCCGAGAGCTCCCAATGCTGCCAGCTAACCTGGTACTCCTTGACCATCTCCACCAAGCATTCCGCGTAAGTGGTTTGGTTCCAGTATGTTCCGTTCTGGATGAATCCCCATTCGGAGATTACCATCGGGAAAGTGTACTTGGTCGCTGGGTCGTCGGGGTTGACGGCCTGGAAGCCCTTCTGATACCACTTCCTCTTGAAGGTCGCGCAGTCATCCTGTGTGGCTTCGAAATCATACTTGTGGATCTCGAGAACGATCTTGTCCTTCCAAGCGAAGCTATCGGGCACGAACTTCGCGGTCTTGTTCGCAGTCGATGTACCACTAGTACCATTGAGCGTCTTTCCGAGAGGGATGGGGTCTATGTACGTGTCGTACGAAAGACCAGAGAAGAAGATTAGCGCATTGGGATCTGCCTCGTGAACGGCGTCTGCAGCGGCAGTCATGTGGATGTACCAGGTATACCAGTCGACCGGCTCGGCCACCTTGGCAGCTCGCAGCTCATTGCGCAGTCCCATTGACGAGAACGTCGACCAGTTTTCTTTCGCCTAATCTTGTCAGCATCTGCTCCATAGCAGACGGTCATTTAAGCACATACATGCTTCGTCATAAAGGCCAAACCTCGCTTCCACTTCTCCACGTCGAAGTCCTTCTCGCCGAACCAGCCGTTACCGTCGTCGTCGCCGCAGCACCAGAATGCCTTCGAAACGTGGTTGTCCAAGTGGATGATCACACCTTGACGCGAAAGTTCCTTGCCAACAGCATCCCAGACTTGGAGTCTTGTCGTGTTCTTGGTGAACTGCGGGTTCTTCTCCAGGATAGAGTTCAGAACATCGGTGCCGTTTGTGCCCGGAATCGCATTAAGAACACTCTTTTCGAGAGTCTGGTTAGGGCTATTCGCAAGGTAGTCATCCACCATCTGAATTGCGAACGGCATGCGGACCGAGTTGAGGCCGAGCTTAGGAAACCACGATACGATATCTTGGACGGATGAGTGATGGAGGCCTTCAGGAATCATGATCTCTTGGTGGCCTGGCCAATTGGTCGACATGAAGTGGAAGACATCGCCGTTCGCGTCGACGATATCTCGCCCCTTGGTTGATAAAGGAAGTATGGAAGCGGACCTCTTCAACGCTGATGGCGGCGCGGCAGCAGCGAGGGAAATCAGCAGCAGGCTCGCAGTTGCACGAATGAACAGCATTTTGAAGTTAAAAGCACGAAGTGTTGGCTGGTCCTATCCACGTTACGGACCCTAGCATCTTTATGCCGACAAAGATTCATGTGATCGTCTCAAACTTAGACGCGTCGATATTTACGGTCAAAGTATCTCCGTCCTCACATGCAAGCAGCGCTACTGCAACCCCAGACTTCACAGATAGTACAATGCGGGGAAAGTAGCTAGAAGCCCAGCCTTAGGTCAACGCTACGACGCTTCCAAGGCTTATCAACACAGCAAGCGAAGGAACAGATACCTCTTCTGGAAGACCGTCCACGAGTCCAAGAAAGCATAGTCACGAGCTCCAGAACAATACGAGATCAAGAAAAGCATGACGTCCACATCGCGGGCGATGCCCTGAGCTTGTGCAAACGGCCGGGTAGCGGGCATCGGGGTAATGCAGATCCCACGTTTAGCCTACACCTTGGCTTTGAACATTCGTCGCGAGATAACCCGGTATCGATAACAGCCCCGCCATGCTACGCGCGACAGTTTACGCGTCGCCCGATGTAGGCTTTTTGGCAAGAAGCAACACCTTGGCTACTCTTCGCTTTGCTTCCCAACTCTTCCCTCCGCTCAGTTGCAATCAAGCTCCTTGGAAACGCCACACCTCAACAATCCAGTTCTAAATCACATTGGACGGAAATCTACCTTTCTATCGAACAAACGTCACTCGCAAGTTCTGATCGCGAAGGCAAGATGGGAAGCGCTGTACAGGACGCCAAGATGACTTCCAAGGCCGCAGTGTAAGCAAACGCGCATGCTATACGACATAAGCCAATGCTAAGTCCATCTAGTGTCAAAGATGTCGACCTCAGTCAGATCTACTCAGAAAGCGTAGCAGCAAAGATCATACAAGTCGCGCAACGCGGTCTCAAACAACCGGCTCCCTTACCGTCATACCCACACACCGTACCCCAGATCGGTCCAGACGCCGGCCGATATGAAGAGCGAGAAGCAGACTTCTGGACATGCGGCTTCTTCCCAGGATGCTTATATGCTCTTCTCGAGCGCTCAATACGATACCCTCAGGCCATTGATGTCCCGGAAAATGTGCGGCCACAAATCCAGGACCAACTGCTCAAACTGGGTCGACACTATGGCGTCGCTATCAACCAGATGTCGGGTCGAACAGATACCCACGACATGGGCTTCATCGTACAGCCTGCGTTACAAAAAGACTGGGAGTTGACTGGGAACAAAGAGAGCTTACAATCTGTCATCAACGCAGCGTACGCGCTCGCATCGCGATACGACGACCGGGTGAAAGCGATTCGGAGTTGGGATGTTGCGATCAACGATCGTTACTCAATAACGGACATGTCCACAAACTTCCTTGTCATCATAGATAGCATGTGCAGTAAGCCTTCCACCCCAAGCACTTCTTCTCCCCACTTACTCACACGTTTCAGACCTCGACCTCCTCTACTTCGTCGGCCACATCCAAAACGACCAAAAGCTAATCGACATCGCAACCCAACACGCCGACTCCATCATCCACGAAATTCTGCGACCAGACTTCTCCTCCTACCACCTCGTAAACTTCGACCCGCGGACCGGTCAACCACAAGCCAAGATGACGAATCAGGGTTGGAAAGACGATTCGACGTGGAGTCGAGGTCAAGCCTGGGCGATAATGGGTTTTGCGCAGACGTATTCGTGGACGAAGGATATCAAGTACTTGGCGACAGCGATCCAATGTGCAGAATACTTCTTGCGCAGATTGAAAGAAGGAGAGGGGAAGTGGCATCACCCCATGGTCCCGTGTTGGGATTTCGACGCGCCACAAGATCATCCTGAAGAACCGCTACGCGATGTCTCCGCAGGCGTGATAACAGCGAACGGTCTTCTTATCATCCACCAAGCACTCCAATCCCTCTCTTCAGCCACGGTATCGCAACTCCCTTCTAGCAACGCCACCAATTTCCTCGACGTCGCACTGCAGATCGTATCCCAGACTCTAGATATGTCGTACGACTCTGATCTAGCGTCTTTTGAACTCCCCACCAAGGCCATGGTCAATGGGAACAGCGTGAACGGCGCAGTGGTAGCATCAGAGCTCAAGATCAAAAAATCAGGGTTCGAGTGTATACTAAGGAACAGCACGACGAATTGGAACGAACATGCGCATATGAAGTATGCGGATCATGGGTTGGTGTATGCGGATTACTACCTTTTGGAATTCGGGAATAAGCTTTTGAGGGCGGGGTTGCTGTGATGGGTGTTGGGGCGTTGGGATGAGTAGTCGTTGATGAGAAATACATGTTGAAGTGAAGCAAGTCTGCATTGTCTGCTTGCTGGTTTGATGTGCCTTTGCTGTGAGTGAGCAGGTGTGAAGACGGTATCAAGGAAGCTAGCATATGAGAAGAGCAGAACAGGTGAGCAACGAGCAAGAGTCAAAGAACGAGCGGTTGGATTTCTTTTGCGTGCGTGACGAAATGAGCGTAAGGCGTAAGGCGTGGTAGTGTATATACAGCGATATCAAGCGAGTGCGGGTATGTATATGCAACAGCATAGAACGAGTGTGATAGTGCAAGTGTGCACAAACGTGAAGAGAGACATGTACAAGAAAGATGAGTGGAAAAGTGCGCCGCAGCCAACAAACAGCAGAAACGATACCTAGCCGGTCATTGTCGCTGGTTTACACAGTGACATACTCCATGACAACCGAAGTCACGACCGTAGTTTGTGGGTCAGCGGGCGCGGTAGGCTCAGGCGCTTGCTCTGAGACGGCTGGTGCGCTAGAAACCTGGGGTGTGGGAGTAGGTGTAGAAGAGATAGATGTCGCGCTGGAGACCTCAGATGAGGTCGCAGGTGTAGGTGTGGATACCGCAGGGGTAGAAGCACCCAGCGTCACATACTGCGTAATGACCGACTCCAAGAGCGTCGTTGCAATCTGGGGACCCGCACCACCAGCGTCAGGCGCGACTTCCGGAACCGGAGCCTTCTTCCATACAAACTCGCCAGATTCAGCGTCGTAAGATCCGCTCGACTGATCGGCAGGGAGAGTGGAGTTGGTGCCGTCAGGTCCAGGTCCGTTGTACACAGGCGGGTTGCCTTCGATGTCGTCCTTGTATTCGACATCGCCGTTCCAGGTCGGCACCTCGGTGTCGGATTCTGGGATGCTGACTGGCACGCTGAATACGGTGACGTTCAAGCCCTTGGGTGGTTTGTTTCGTGGGATCTCGCTGAAGTCCAGAGCTTGGATGCGCCAGCTGAACTTCTCTTTGAGATAGGCCTGTACTGTCTCTTTGTCCAGGCTCTTGAGCTCGCCGGCCGCGTGCTTCTGTGCGAGCTTCTCTGTCAGGCCAATGTTACCCGTAACGATGTTTGAAGAGCTCATTCGCGGAGAAGACAAGGTGGCGAGCTGACCAACGTAGTTGGGGTCTGTGGGCCAGTCGATGGGGTTGGTGCTGGGCTCGCCAAGGAAGGCACGAACGGCGTAGGAGACCTTGATGTCGGTGGGCATATTGACTTCACACTGCCAGTCGGTAGCCTGAACCGTGCGGTTGATGCTGCCTCCGCCTGGAGCCGGGAATGTCGCATTGACAGTCGCATTGGTCTCGCTCAGACCTTGATTCTGGGCCTTGTACAACTGATTGATGGACGATGTCAGCGTCGCATTGCTGGGGTTGTTTTCGAGTTCGGGGTAGGTGTATCCAAAGGAGGTCCAATTGCGGGAAGTGGTTGCAGTCCACATGTCGCCAAGGGCGTTCATGTGGAACGGTGCGAGTGGCGAAGCAGTACCAAGAACGCTACCGCTGGCGACAGAGAATGAACCCATACGCTGCTCGGCGTCCTCGACCCAGGTGTCGGGGTAGCGAGTTTGGTACATAGATATGATCCGATCAATGTTACTACACACGGTTAGCATTACTCTCAGCATTACGTTCCGAGGACTTACCAGTGATGGAACCAGAAGATGGGGTCGAAGGCGGAAACCTCCACTATACCCATGTGACCCAATCCGAAGACGGTGTGCAGACCATCGTGTAGAGTCTCAAAGTTTCCGATCTTGCCACCGTTCGCCTTGTTGCTCACTTGGCTGAAGGGTTGGTACGTTGTCAACAACTTGTAGAGCATATCGCGGAGATTGGGCTGCTGCTTGCCCACTCGATCGTTAACCTCGCTGTTACGGCTGGTGGCATTGGCAGCATGCGGGTCAGCTGGGTACCGAATAGTGTGATTCCAGTACTTGAACTCAAACTCGCTCTACTCGTGTGTTAGCAGCCAAGTTCTCGAATATGATATCTTCTGCGTGGAACGCGGAGGTATAGATTTGAGACGTACCAAAGGAGCGAAGTCATCATACTTCAGAGGATGGAAGTCGTATTTGTACAGAGGGTTGGGGATATACCCTGTGGTCCCATTGGGAAACGTGACAGTAGCCGTGAGGCAACGCACGTTCTCAGGAATGACACCCTCTTCACTGTTTGGCGGGTCCATTGCCCAGTCCCAGTAAGGAAGGCGAACTCGGTTTGCAATATCCAAGGCCTTGTTACGGGCTTCACCGATGGGATACTCATTGGCGACGTCGACCGCGCGATCATGGAGAACCTGCTCGAAGAGCGCGAGATACGGTCTGTGCCACGGACCGAACATGCTGGACCCATGAGGACAATATCCCATCATCTCATGACCAGCTGTCCCGTTCACATTGTCCCACTTCTGGAATGGCACTCCGTGTATCCCTAGAGATGTTAGTTAAGCCTCTGATAAGAACATTAACTACATACCTGCGACCTGGAAGTAAGAGATCTTTTGATCCTGGTCCATAGCCTGGAAGCGAGCAAACGCTTGGATAAAGATGTTCCATAACTCCGTGTCTTTCTGCAATTCACGGAGTTCCTGTCGGGGGTGTACTCCAGTTCCCTGGACTCCGACAACACTGAAGTAGCTGTCGTCTGCCTTTGCAACTCCACATGAAGGACCATTGGTAGAGTTGGACACAGCTTGTACGCTTGCCAGTAACGAGAGTGTGGTAGCCAGACCAGTGAAAGAAAAGAATGATTTCATGTTGGCCAACCGGTAGCGAATGAAGATGATCGTCAAGATCTGAACGAATGAAAGCAGCAACAAGTTGCGAACGAAAAGAATGAATGTCACTAGGACTGAAAGAGAGACTGGGCAAGCGATGCTGTGATGGGATTCTGGATGGACATGATGCTGTATATAAGATGTCCGTAAAATGAACGGCTGATGGCACAATCCACTGCCCCGCTGCCTGTAAGTGACGTACCGCGTTGTAGTACCGGTACTTCATGCGTAAAACATCCACCATCTGTCAAAAGGCAGGTGCCGCAGCGTGTACGCCGTTGTTGGTCGGTGCATCCTTGCATGTAGGATGATGTTCGAAACATGTTTGGTTTCTTCGCATGAACGTGCCAAGGACGGAGGAGCACGAGGTATGGACTATGAACATAGACGATCAGAGTCCTGGAGCGTATTTTCGAGCTTCAATGGGGGTCTAGTACCGGTGTTCATGCTCTCAGTATAACTGCGCTTGACCGTTGACGTAGTCGTCCTAGCCAAGACGCAGCATAGACAGTTGAGTATCTTGGGGATGCCTTAGCCCCACCGGCTAGTTGAGAATCAGACATCGGCACGAGCGGGCCATCTTCGATCGGTGCAGTATACTGATTGTGGCTGTGGCGTGGGGAAGCTGTGTGATGTTGATTGTGTGAGATGGCAGGGCCGCGGCACAGACCACCACGGCATGGTGCGACGCTCACAGAGAGCAAATTGACGAGCAACCGAAATTCAGGCACCTATCAACTCGGATGTGACGGCCTGGAATGGTCGATGCGATGAAACAATGTCGGCACGCAGCGATTGCTAACCGGCAAAATTGGTGTTATCGCGATTTTGCGGGGGATGTGCTTCATACACTTTCCATAGTGTCGGGAGGCATGGAGTCATCGATATCACGCGCTGTGAGAGTGCGTTTCGTGTCCTCGAGTTGTTTCGCCTGGCTGCTCTTTCTCTTTCTCGAACCTGCACTATCAGATGCAATGTGCAATCTTGCCCACCTTTTGACTCTCTTGAAAACTTCGATTACTGGCACCGGGAGCCCACCCAGTTGGGCAGCTGATACACCGTTGCTTCTCGTCAAGACATCAATAGTCGTTCGAGCCCGTGTGATGGCCGGGTTCAGAGATTGGCCAAAGACGGTGTCACCGAACGATGTCAACGCAATGTTCCTCAGAAGCAGAATGTCGCCAACTTTGATGCTCTCTAGTGTCTGCAGTAGTTGGGTTTGAACGTGGTTTTGTTCGTTGTTTGACTCTCGGGGTGGACGCAGCCAGAACGTGACCTTGAAGTCTGAGCGCGTATCATCCGCAACGATGATCTCCCATAGATTCATCTTGTATCCGCCCTTCCGAACGAAGACTTCTTTTTGTTCCGGAGTCGCTGTCACAACGCATAAGAAGTTTGGTGTTGGAGTTTGCGGGTAGATCGCTCGTAGACGCTGTGCGTTAGGTAACAATCCAAGAGGCGTGATACTCATCTTGGGCGCGACTTTGACGAGTAGTGTATGCTCATCGACTTTGCTTGGGCTGTCAAAGTCCGATAGAGTAGTTCCGAAAGAAGTAGTCAAGAAGGATGAGGAGCTGACGCTCTTATCTGTTATACCGTCTGGCAGGACCTGAGACGACAGTAGCGTGTCGTGGAAGACGAGCGAATGCTCAAGATAGCCAGGTGTGGCGAGTGACGTATCCTCAAAGGCGATAGATGTATCCAAGTGCGTTGTATCTTCTTGTAAGAAAGACGGATACCGACTCACATTGGGCAGCGAAACGTCTGATATGTCTTGACCTCGAACATTTCCTGGGAGAAAAGGTTGTGACCATCCAGTCTGGAGCCGAGGGTTCTTGAGAGGCAGTCCGCGCCACTTCAAAGCCGGTGTGGATTCATTTGCAGGTGTAGAGACACTTGTTGCTGCATCAAAGGGACGGCAATCCTCGACTGCCAAAAGTGTGTCCTCGTTAAACTCTAGATGGTTGCGCAAAGGCGCTCCATTGAGCATCTTGAGCCGCATCTTACGCGACTGACGCGTCTACGCGTACGTGTTGGATCGACGCGTGCGCGACGGAAGTCATGGGAACAGGGTTGGTCTTCGAAGTATACTAGCGTAGGAGGTATGCGAGGGTCATGTGGAGCCGAGTAGAGAGAAGTCGGAGAATGTGAGGATGTCCGGGCCTCGTCCAACAAATCCGAAGCTGAGGGCATAATCGTCGCCTAATCTGATAACGCGAGGTCCGAAAGCCGAAGCAATTCACCGAGACAAGAAAAGCAACATAAGAGGCGGTCAGCTTCCGTGAAAAACAGCCGTAACGACGTGTATTCGGTGTTACTCAAGCATCTTCGTATGTACCAGGCAGCAACGGCCGTGAACGGGCGTGAAAGACATCATCCAGGTACCAACCACTCCGTAAGCGTCGGCGTCACCGCGCGCCCACATTCCGCGGCCTTGGCGATCTAATCGCCGCATCTGATATAAAGATACGCAATGGCACCTTCCAAGACGCCCCACCGGCCGATAAACGCCTACCGAGTCCCTGCCATGTTGCGCAACCTGTCCTACAAGCTGACTTCAGCACTTTCGTCGTCAGAAGTCCCTACGTTGGCCAAGGACAGCGACGAATTCACCAAAGCGAAGAAGACGGAGGAGTTGTTCCCGACCACCGACCCCGCGGTAGATGGCGACGATTGCCTGCACGACTGCGCCAGTTGTAGTGTCAAATACCCGCGCAAGTTCGAGATTGACGAGACGGAAGAGCTGTATGGGCATGTGAAGGGATGGAGTACGCATTTGATTGTCGCGACTGGCAAGACGGATTGGGTGCGCGATGTCGCAGACGAGAAGGGCAGCATCATGGAGGCGGTTGACAGGGGCGATGCAAAGCCTAGCAATGGGGTGAGTCTGGGAATATGCTACCGTTAGGTTCTGTCGAGTGCGAGCTAATTGGGTATAGAAACTCATGTTATCCGCCTCCAATATGCCCGTCCCAGACCACTCGGATCACAGTTCCATGGTACTACTGCTACCGTCATGGCAGTTCATAGACAACGTCACGCCTGCGAACATCCCCGAACTTATCACCGACTATATCAACCCCGGTCCTACAAATAACACCCCATTGCGCTCGCGGAAAACTGCCGCGCTACCACCTTCAGAAGAGCCGGAAGAGACTTCTTCCGCCGACGCCGACGCGCCCTCCTCCATACCCCCGTCGATGCCCGCACCCCAACTCAAAGCCCGACCATGTCCACACAAATACCTCATCTTAATGTGCAGTCAAAAGACACGAGACGCGCGTTGCGGCCAGTCCGCTCCTCTTCTACGAAAAGAGTTCGAGCGACTGCTACGGCCACTGGGGTTATACCGCGATCTACACGACGAGCGACCGGGCGGCGTAGGAATATACTTCATAAGCCATGTTGGCGGCCACAAGTTCTCGGCAAACGTCATGGTCTACCGCCACTCTTCTGTGGTCACGCGGCCCGAGAGCACGAATGGCAATGCCAATGGACATGCCAATGGTGCGGAGAAGCGGCTCGCGGACCTGAAGCTTGAAGATGATAATGGGCAGAAGGTTCTGCTGGATGCTAATAAGGAGCAGGAGGCAGATGGTAATGGCGAGGCTGCGCAGTGTATATGGTTGGCGCGAGTGAAGCCTGAGGATTGTGAGAATATTATTAAGTACACGGTGCTGCAAGGAAAGGTGGTGAAGCCGGGAAGGCAGCTGCGAGGTGGTTTTGATCGGTGCAAACAGCTAGCTAGTTGGTAATCGATTCTGAATGACTGCCAAAGGACTTGTTGACCAGATCTGCTATCGCTGACGAAGGCGCCTCACAGTATGCAGCAGTGCATCTCCTTCCCCGAATCGGAAAGTCATGCAACAAGGTGTCCGACGGTGCGAATACGCTGATCTTGCACTTGACGTAACAATCATTACTATTTTCTTTCAAACGGATTACTCCATCTCTTTTCCCATCACGACACGATTGATCTGATCAAGAGTGAACAGTCATCGATATCCAAATGACAGCAGTCCCACCATCAGTCTGCATGGTTTTTCATCTCGCGGAACTAGCTTCTTGTACTGTCCAGCTCAGGCGTTGTCTGTCTGCCAGGTAGCTCATACCGCGTCTCCAACATTCCCTGTTGCGTATCCTCGTTGCATTTGTCATGTGATTCTGCAGGCTTTGTGCTCTTGTTGTCTGGATACCTCCGACGAATCCAGCATACGGCAACGACGATGATACCAACGATTGTTAGACCGCCCATAATGCCGCCAATAATCGCGCCGGTATTGCGGGATGTCGTGTCGGGTTCGTTCACATAATAGGATGAGCCATCGCTGAACGTCGCAGAGTAACTGGAGCTCGATGTTGAACTCGACTGGTAAAGCCATGAAGGTATATCGCTGGAGTCCGTTCGATCGACTGTCACGGTGCTGGTCCTGATCATTGATGGCGTTTCTGATATACCAGGGGTCAACCATGTGGCTAATGGTGCTGGCTCTTGTGTTGTGAGATAGACTGTGGTATCTGATCCGACAGATTCCATTATCACGTCCATTAAGCTTCTGGTCCCCCACACTGCTATGGCAAGCGTGGAGAAGCCTGCTGGAGCTGATTCGATCGGGTCGGGGATGAGTTGCTATGTTATTATTAGATTGTAACCCAGTAGCAAAATTGACAAAGTACATACCGCCGACATCTCAGCTCGTTGCGGTTGGTCTCTCAACGGCAGCCAGCAATCTCTGGAAGTAGGCAGGAGGTACTTAAAACAACTTTTACTAGAGAGAAGCTTGCATAGTCCTGCCTCCTGTACACAGCCCCTTTCAATAAAAACGTCGATGTAACACTGGAATGCAGCATTGCGGTTGTGTTACAACCTGTATCAGCATGGTACAGTGCAGCGCGTAGAAACTGCGCGAAGGACTTAACCAAAGGCTCCGTAGTACAGAATACGTGCATACTAGGGTGTATACAAGGTTAGGCTCGATATGCAATGAATCACGCGCATCCGGGAAGATACATGTTGAACTCGAACATAACATGGGGTATCATTTGTGGTATATCGCTTGGCCATGCATCTATGGTGTCTGTCTGTCGGCTTTATGTGGCCCGTGGTCCTCAAGATGGCAAGCGATTTTCGATCTTTCCAAGTATCGTGACTTCGCAGCGTGCTACCCATCGATGTGTCGGTCATGGTCGACCTTGCTCGACGAAATTAGTCGAGGATTTCGGGCCGCCAACTCGTACTTATCGTCATGGAAGGGCTCCACGCGTGACGATGACAACTTCCTGTAGGGTCTTGATCACCATGAGAAAGCTGTGAGTGACTCTTGCATCGCTTATGATCACACGACTTGTTGTATGTGCACATACACGTCTCTTCTCAGCCTGCGGCTTCCTTAACCTTGCCACCGGGATTGGGCGCTTCGTCGATGAACTGGGGCGGCGCAGTATCGTCTAGCATGAAGTTTGGCACGCCTGACGATTCTCCAATACCCTCAAAGTCGACCTCGTCACCCAATGCCTCCAGCTCAGCATCCAGCTCCGACTCGTCCACATCTTCTGGCACGTCGTAGCTGCGGCTTATAGCGTCTTGTATATCGTTTCCCATATCCATGAGGTCCGCCATCTCGTCTTGCAGCTTATCGATCTTGTCGATGTTGACCTTGCCGTACTGCTTCCGTAGCTCTTTGGTCGTTGTCTTCATGGCGTCGATAGTGGTCATTGTGTTCTTAAGATTGTCCTGCATCATGCCGGCCTGTTCCATGTTCCACGACTGCGCCTGAAGTTGGTCGCGCTGCGCTTCGTATTGCTTCCGCTGCTGGAGGACTTTGAGGGCTTTTTGCTTGATGGCGGTTTTGCCGGGGCCGTCGCGCATCTTGGCGAGCTTCTGCTGGTAGGTGGACAGCTCAGCATTGAGCTTGGCGAGCTTGACGTCGAGACTTTCTATGCGTGTGTCGACCTGAGCGCGTCAGTATCGGAAAGGTGTTGCCTAATGGATGGAGCCTACATTGGAGATGGCGCTGTTGAGCGTGGGCTTGGGCGCGGTGCTCTTTGCACCGAATAAGCGGTTCATGCTGGTGGAGGGATATGTGGGTTGCCGGCCGGAGAGTCGCGATATGCAGCCGAGGGGAGAGGACAGGCGTGGAGTGTGTTGGCAGTGTGGGGTGAATGGCAGGCACCGAACGGTGGTCGTAGCTCCGGCAGTTCCCGCTAACGTCATCGATCGTCACGTGGGCGCTAACGATCGCTGACCCTGAGATGCCCAAGCAGGATTGCCATACATAGAGTGTCCCATGCCATGGCAATTGCCGACGTTGACAAGCTAACAAAAGCAACCATAGTACATGATGAAGCAATTCATCAACAGCTATCCACAAACGAGTCAAATGAACTTTCTTACAGGCGGATGCCGGCATGCGATGCCAGATGCAAGATGCACCAAACCATCACACTGTTGAAGATGCTACATAACCATGAAATCCTCCAGCATGCGCGGCGTTCACGCCATCAGCACTAGCTCGCATGCTTATCTCGAGCAACTACTGAGTTCCAGACTTGTACCCAGATATAGCTGGTAGTCTTCTCGACACGTCCTGGTTGATATCAGGGAGGTGCAAGTGATCTGCGGCCTGGCACGCTATCCGTACTACGCAGCTTCTAGCCTTGCCTGTCACCACCAAACCCAACAATACCCACAACACTCCGACTCGGGAGACACAGACGTTTTCGCAGCCTGTATCTGTAACGACGCCGCGCAACAGTCGGTGCATGGGTTGATCCAGAGCCTCGCGCGCTTTTCGTTTGCCATTGCCTTCCCCGCGGCCTCGTTCGCCTAAGGTACCTGTCCCACCTGTGCAATCCAGCCCAAGCCACGAACACGCGCCCTCTGTCTCACTCGAGTCGCTCTGCTAACCAGCCCGCCGCCGTGTCCAGCTTTGCACGGTGTGTCCTTCTATGACGCATTGGTCGCCGCAGTAAATCTACGCATGTGCCCCACGCTGCTGCACA